AGAGTCCCAAGAGGATGTCAGGAGAGGTCGTGGGGCATTAACTTGGCGGGTGCAGCGTCCGGAGGCCTCCGGGACCCTCCCAAGAGGCCTCCAGAGGCCTTGAGAGCCCCATGGAGAGGCCCCCAAACATACGCCCAGTGGCTTCCCGACGAAGTCTATGAAGCCTCCCAGGGCCACTTCGAGCTCTCGTTCTGGAGCCTCCTTGGGGCTCTCTTGGGATCCTCTTGGGTCCCCTTCAAGCCTCTCTCTAAGCCCTCTTGGGATCTTCTTGGATGCCCTTCGGGCCTGTCTCGGCCCCTCATTATGCGTTGTTGGGTTTCTCTTAGAGCGCCTTGTCCCTGGGATCTCGTGTCCTTCGGGTTCGCTCGGCCATTTGTATTGTCGTGCGTTGTCTTGCGATTAGTTTGCGTTGCGTGTGTATTTGTCTTGTTTCGCATTGCACTGTTGAGCATAGCTCTCCTTTGCCTTGCACTTGCTTCGCTCGAAACTGCTTGCAGTGCTTTGCGTTGTTCTGCCCTCGCCTCCGATTTCCACGTCATTGGTTTGCCTCGCTCCTCCACCGCATTACATTCATTCCTTTTACTTTGGCATCGCTCGGACGCGTGCATTTGTTCTCGGCGAGGACCATTGAGGAGCATTGTGGGTCACCTTACGAAAAATACGCGCACGAAATCGAAAAATGCACAGGGAATGGACGTCCTAGCGATGGCGAGTTACTGCTTTGCATGTCTTCGCGCTCAATTGTATCGACGCCGGGTCCGGGCCCAGGAAATCCCGGGCCCGGGCCCCGCCTTTGTAGATGCGCAGTGGTCCCTTTTCCAGGAGCCTGGCAGTCCCCAGACAGCTCGAGGGCGCTCCAAGAGCGCCTACGATGGCTGCCAGACCGCCCACGAGGCCCCCCCGAGGCACCCCGAGAGGGCCCAAGTGCGCCCCAAGATGCCCCAAGATGGCCCCAGAACGACCCCCAGGAGGTCAACGACGCCCTGTTCACCCTCGGGAAGCATGCATTTTTGGCGCACTCGCTTCTTGGATCTCCACATCGTCCACGACGGCTCAAGAGGTGCCCGAGGGGGCCCTAAGAGGGTTCAAGGTGGCCTCAAGACGACCCAGGAGGGCTCCACAGCGGCCCCAGAGACCCTCAAGACGGCCCAAAGGGCTTCTAAACTGGGCCCAAGCGAGCCCCAAGAGAGTCCCAAGAGGGTGACAAGAGAGGTCGTGGAGCATTATCTTGGCGGGTGCAGCGCCCAATCTGACCCTAAGGTTTTCCCGGAGGCCTCCGGGACCCTCCCAAGAGGCCCCCAGAGGCTTCAAGAGCCCCATGGAAAGGCCCCCAGAAATACGTCCCAGAGGCCCCACCAACGAAGTCCAAGAAGTCTCCCAGGGACCCTTGGAGCTCTGATCTTGGAGCCTCCTTGGAGCTCTCGTGGGCCCCCCTGTTAAGCCTCTTTCGGAGCCCTCTTGGGGTCTTCTTGGATGCCCTTTGGGCATGCCCTGGCCCCCCCTTAAAGCGCTGTTGGGCTCCTCTTAGAGCGCCTTGTCCCTGGGGTCTCGCGTCCCTCGGGTTCGCTCGGTCCCTTGGATTGTCGCGCGTGGTATTTCCATGAAGTGTTTCGCGTTGCGTGTGCACTTGCCTTGCTTCGCATTGCGCTGCTGAGCATCGCCCTCCTCTACCTTGCAGTTTCTTCGCCCACGCCTACTTGCAATGCTTTGTTGTGCTCTGCCCTCGCATCTAATTTCCGCACCAATGGTTTGCCTTGCGCGTCCATCGCATTCCAGTCATTCTTTCCATTGCTTCGCATGGCTTCGCATTCAATCGTATGGACGCGTCCTTGCTGGTACCTCGCCTCCGATGGGTCACAGTGTTACCACTTATTCACTTAATGCTGGACCCTTGCGCGAGGAACTACTTCGGAAGAGTTGAAAGCTTTTTCAAGAACTGAGTATGGCTAGAACCGAAGCGCGAGAAACGATCGCGTGAGTTTAGAATGTAGATGTGAATCGATCTACAAATATAGTGGCACCCTCACTACCCCTGTCAAGAATACACATGTTTACACAGATCTTGTTATGTTGTTTTGTTCCCAGTCTCTCTCCCTCTCTCTCTCTCTGTCTCTGCACTGGCGCGTCGCGCCGTGCTCCTTGGTCCTTCAAAATTCGAACACAGGCGGGCTGAGAGCGAGAGTTGTTGCTAGGTGTTTATGCATAGACACATGTGACACACACATATATATATGTATATATACCGAAAGAGAGAGAAGACAAACAACATAAAAGAGACAGAGAAAGAGCATGTCACGATCATCAGCATCATGCGCATTTCCATAACCGTACCGTCATCACCATCGCCATCATGATTGTTTCTTTCATCGTTGTCTCCATCAAGTTCATCCGCCCTACCGCCCTCTCTCCTTGTGCGAGCCAGCTTGGTTGATGAGACCGGCTGCAATGGGGAGACCTGCAGGGAGCGTTGCGCTTTGGCTTGTTGTTTTCTCTCGCTTTCAGAGCTTACCATACTTTAAGGTTGCGCTCGTCGAGCCCTCCTGCTGCCATTTGCAATGAGCATTTCGAGACTTCAGCTGCCGCTTTGCGCACACTGGCGCAGCAAGTCGCACGCACCTTTTCCGCAGCTCCGTGCGATCGTCAGCATCATCATCGGAATCAGCATCAGTATCATTATCATCATTATTATCATTATCATCAGCAGCATCAGCAGCATCATCATCATCATCGTCATCATCATCATCGTCATCGTCATCATCATCAGCATCAGCATCAGCATCAGCATCATCATCATCATCATCATCATCATCATCATCATCATCATCATCATCATCATCATCATCATCATCATCATCATCATCATCATCATCAGCAGCAGCAGCATCATCATCATCAACGGCACCGTAATTGGCATCGCCATCGTCGTCACCATCGTCACCATCGTTGCCGACCTCCCTCGGCTTCGGGGGGCCCCACCGCTGCCCCGGGGCCATCAGGACAGGCGGCTCGGGGCGAGAATGCCGGCCCCGTGGGGGCGTGGGGGTCCGGGCCTCGGGTGGGTCGACGCTTCTGCTCCCCCAATGTCTTGGCATCGCTCGGACGTGTGCATCTTTTCTCGGCGAGAACCATCGAGGACCATTCTGGACCATCGAGCAAAAAAAACACGCACGAAACCGAAACAATGCACGGGAAATGGACGTCCGAGCGACGGCAAGATGTTGTTTCTCGAGTTCGGGACGTCGGCCCCCCCCCCAGGATCTCCACCACCTCCTTGGGGCTGGCTTCGAGACGTCTGTTTGATCCCCTGGCGGTCACGGGCGTGTCATGGGCTTCATCGCGAACAGTAGAGTGAAAAACGGGCTCTTTTCCTCCCGAGTCGTGATTTGACCCGGGGCTGGGCGGCTGGGAGACTGCCCCGGGAAGCCGACAAAGCGCGAGCAAACAGGCGCGTCTCGACTCTCTGGGGGATGGGATCGCTGTCTAAAGCAGAGAGCCGCGGCAAAACGTCATGGTACTTGGAGTTTTCCGGGCGGGGGCCAGGACTGGGCTGCACGACTCCAGCCGGCCTCGCGCGAGGGGGGGGGGCTCCTCAGAAGCACCCCTGCTCCTTAGAGGGCGCGGGCCTTCTAGATGTGAGGCCCGCGCCCTCCGTCCAGGCCTCCTGGATGGGGTCGGAGCAGAGGGGGTCGGAGGATCGCTCCGCATCGCCGACGATGCGGCCCGATGCGGAGCCCGATTTTCTCTCCACGCCGACGTCGCCGATGCATCGCCGACGTCGACGACGCATCGCCGGTGCATCGCCGGTGCACCGCCGAGGCATCGACGATGCGGCGCGGCTAATCCCCGACCACATCCGCTCCGACCCCATCCAGGAGGCCTCCAGTCTGGGAAGCAGCCTCCCAGGAAGCCTTCCCCCCTCCCCCTGCCCTTGTGCGCTCGCCGCCCGTCCAGAGAGCTCCGCTCCAGATTCGCTCCGCTCCGGAGCGCTCCGCTCGCTCGCCTCGCTCGCTCCGCTCCCGCCCTGCGGGCCCCAATTGGGCCTGTTCGGGTACAGTTGAAACCTCTGGGACTGTGCTCGAAACCTCCTCCTCCTCCTCCTCCTCCTCCTCCTCCTCCTCCTCCTCCTCCTCCCCCTCCTCCTCCTCCTCCTCGTCCTCCCCCTCCTCCTCGTCCTCCCCCCCCTCCCCTGTGCGCCAGCGCCCCCGGGGCGCTGCGCTCCGGAGCTCCCCCGGGAGCGCCATGGCACCTCCTCCGGGCACCGCCGGGTGCGCCCCGATGTGTCCTGCAGCGCTGCCGTGCCGGGTCCCGGCTTCGCCTCGGTCGGGGGCGCCCCACAAGGGGGGGCGACGACGAGGGGTGTGTGTGTGTGTGTGGATACCCTGTCTCCTCAATCCCAGACATCGGGCGTCTCGAAAAAATCGAGACAGGGGGTTTTCGTAGTTTTGGGCCTCTCGGGGCCCTCGTCGGGCCTCGGGGCCGTCAAAAATCGAGTCAGGATGAAATGCCGGTCCCAGGGAAGTGGTCGGGAGGTCGGGGGCCCGCGTCTCGAAAAAATCGAGACGTCGGATGTCTGGGATTAGTGCTTTGCGCGCCCCGCCTGGCTCTGGACCGGAAGAGGCCCGCTCTCGACCCGCAGACCAAAGAAGTGCGCGGGTATCATGGTTGGGGCCATGGTATCTCCTGGATTCCATCGACCCCCTCTTTTCCTCTTCTCCTTCTGCTTCTTCTCATTCCTCTTCCTCATTCCTCTCATGCTTCTTCTTATGTTTGTTCAATGCTCGTTCTTTTTATGCTTATGCTCTTTATGTTTCTTATCCCTCCTCTTCTCCTTCTTCTTCTTCTTCTTCTTTCGACACGTCCCTTGGCCGCCTCCCCCAGCCCGCGCGCACGCCTCGGGCCACGATCTGCGAACCTCCCTCTCGGGCGCCCCACCCTGGGGGCGCCTCCGGCCCGCTGCCGGGCCGCTTCCGCGCTCCTATCCCCGCCGCGGGCGCCTCGAGGACACCATCGACGACGCCGTCTCCAAGGCTCAGAAGAAGGCCTGAGCCGGCACGAGCACTGGCGCTGGCCCCGGCCCCGCCCCCTCCCCGCAGCTCTTCGTACTCTCAAGTTTTCGTCCAAGATCCGCCTGTAGGGGGGCACGCCCGACCTAATGCTGCGGTCAAGAACTGTGGCTTCGCGCGTGCAGTGAACCCGCATGGGAAGGATGGGCGACCTTCCCAAGGGTACCCTTGCATCCTTGCCTCCTCGGCCCATCCTTGGCCACTCTCGTTGGCCGCGCCCCGCTTGAAAAGCTTCGAAATGGGCTTCCAAGGCCCTTGCATCCTTGTCGCGCGTCCTGATGATACGGGTGGACCGTAGCGCCGCTTCTGGCCCACCGCGCTTCGGCACAGCACGCGGGCCACTCCTGGGCCCCCGGGGAGCGCCCCCAGCCGCCCGCCACGCGGCAGCGGACGTGGCACGCGAGCCGCTCGCGTCGGAGCGCGTGTCGCCGTGGCCGACGCCGCGGCGCGCGGAGCACGAAAGTTCTTGACCCTATATTCCTGCGTCGGCCACGGACGGGGGGCGGCCCCTTCTCGAAACGGACCGGTGGCGGAACACACAAAAACACACACACACACACACACACACACACACACACACACACACACACACACACACACACACACACACACACACACACACACACACACACACACACACACACACACACACACACACACACACACACACACACACACACACACACACACACACACACACGCACACTGTGGGAAAACACTGTGTGCGTTTTGCCCACGCAGTGTGTGTGTGTGTGTGTGTGTGTGTGTGTGTGTGTGTGTGTGTGTGTGTGTGTGTGTGTGTGTGTGTGTGTGTGTGTGTGTGTGTGTGTGTGTGTGTGTGTGTGTGTGTGTGTGTGTGTGTGTGTGTGTGTGTGTGTGTGTGTGTGTGTGTGTGTGTGTGTTTCCCACAGTGTGTGTTTTCCCACAAGTCCTCGCGCGGTCCGGCCACGAGCTCAGACAGTGCGCAGCACACGCACGGGCGCGGGGCGCTCTCGCCTCCAGGGCGAGGCTGCCGCCCTGAGGCCTCGAAGGGCGAGCGCCCAGCGGGGCTGCCATTCGGGCGAGGTCCCGCTTTGTCTAGCATCTTGGCATCGCTCGGACGTGTGCATTTTTCCTTCGGCGAGGACCATCGAGGAGCATCCTTGATCACTTGGCGAAAAAAGCCACGCACGAAACCGGAAAAAAAACACAGGGAATGGACGTCCGAGCGATGGCCAGGCATCCTCCTGCTTCTTTGCGATACGCAGGGGGGTAGGAGGATACAGTGCAAGGAACTGTCCAGCGAGAGGCCGCCCTTTTGAACACGACCCGGTTTCCAGCAGTGTGGCGTGGCACAGTTCCACATACAGGCGGCCCGGATTTGTAGGCCGACCCTGCCAGCTCAAGGGTACATTTGTGTCCTGAGCTTGGCGACGCGTGCCTTCTTACACTCCTATGGCGATGTGGCCCCCGGAAGGGTTTTGTGTCCTCTCGCGTGTCCTGTCCAATCAAGTCCGATTGTACAGTGCACGGAACTGTCCAGCGAGAGGCCGCCCTTTTCAACACGACCTGGTTTCCAGCAGCGTGGCGTGGCACGGTTCCACATAGTTATTTTGTCGTCAGGTTTGCGGAAGTCTCACGCGAGAGCCCTGTTGTAGAAACGAGCCGTCCTCCAGCCGCAAAGCTATTGCACAATCTGGGCATTTGGGCCATCGCATCGGAGGAAGCTCCCAAGCGGGAGCGGCACTTGAAAACGTAGCGGCCCCCATCCCTGAAATTGTTGCGAACGCTAAGACAAGTGCGCGCGGCGCTGAGGCGAGAGCCGCATTTTGGAAGCGATTGGCCCTGACTCCTTGTAACTGTTGGGGCTCCTTCAGCTTCGGGACACTACGGTGCAGGAGCGTCTACAGAGAAGCGCCCAGCGCCCTGCCTACGGGCACGTCTTCGGGTATGGAGAAGGAGAACAAGACGACGAAAACAAATAATAGCAATAATAATAACAAAAAAAGAAGAACAATAATACGAATCATAAGAAGAAGACGAAGAAGGAGAAGAAGAAGAGGAAGAGGAAGAGGAAGAGAAAGAGGAGGAGGAGGAGGAGGAGGAGGAGGAGGAGGAGGAGGAGGAGGAGGAGGACGGCGACAAAGGCGACGCCAGCGACGATGGCGGAGGCGGGTGCGACCACGACGACGGAGCTCGACAGGGCGGCCGGTGGCCACGAGGGGCTCCAGGGAGAGCTCCCGGGCCTCGCTCTCCGACGCGGCCCCTCCGCGAGGGAGGCCGGCGGCCCCGCCCCTGGACGCCGCCGCCTGGCGGGGGCCGCCCGCGGAGGTTAGCGCTGGGCAGGCGGGGCCGCGCCGGCGGAGGGCCAGCAGAGGGGACGGGGCTCGCGCCCGCTCCGCCTCCTCCTCCTCCTCCTCCTCCTCCTCCTCCCTCCTCCTCCTCCCTCCTCCCTCCTCCTCCTCTCTCCTCCTCCTCCTCCTCCTCCTCCTCCTCCTCCTCCTCCTCCTCCTCCTCCTCCTCCTCCTCCTCCTGGCGGCTCCGTTGTTTCGGGCCGGGCGTTTTCGCCCTTTTTCGGGCCCCGGGGCCCTCACAGATCGACGCGGCTCGAGAAAAGTCATGCAGAATTCAGGCGGGGTCCAGGGCTCCGGTCGCGGAGTTTTTCTCGATGCTGCAATGTTTTCGCCACGTCGGATCTCAGGGGCCGCTGGGAATCCTCCAGCCTGTCTGGCGTCGTCATCGGTGCCTCGAGGCTGGCGCAGGTTCCCGGAGGTTGTCCAGCCTCGGGCGTGGCTAGAGCTAAGGAGGAAGGCTTTCCATCGTCGCCAGTGAAAAGTCCAGCACATCTCCTAGGAAGGGACTCGGAAAGGGCGGGGAGAGAGGGCATCTCAGAGCTCAGGGATGGCAGCGTGCTCTTGGAACACGGAGGAGCCTTGCTTGGAATGCTGCAGCAGCTGCGCCTCGCCGAGAGCGTGACGGCGGGGTGGCTGGGGTCACCCCGAACGCCCGCGGGAGGCCCGAAAGCCAGACGAGAGAGTGACCCTTTGTCGGAAACTGGAACATATACATTACCAGTGGCGGGTTGTTTTTTCAATCCCAAGACTTTTTGAGGGTCGGGGGCGACGTCGGGGTGGTGTGGTGTGGTGTATACTTTTCCCCCATTTCTCAAGGGAAACAACGAAACATGTATACACCATGATCCCGTATACACCAGGATCCGCGTTCCTGTGCAAATTTCGGCGCAGGGTCGGAAAAAGCGTCGGTGTATAGGGTTCGTTGCACTACTTTGCCTATGAAGCGGCCACGCCGGCGGAAGGCTGGCGGAGGTAAAATCGAGGACCGCACATTATCACAAAGCCGGTCGGACCGACCATTTGCTGAGTGCTGCTGGTTCTTCGATGATGTGTCCCAGACCCCCTCGAGTTGTGACAAAAATCACGACGGGAGGCTTGTCGCTATTTTCGGCTTCCGGGTGCCCTTCCCGGGCCTCGGGACCGTCAAAAAAGGATTCAGGACAAAAAACCGGTCCTGGGGAAGGGGTCCAGACCTCTGTGGAAAAATCACGAATTCGGGGGTCTGGGTCAGTTTTTTGATGATAAATCGAGTCACAGACCGAACTCAGGTCTCTGGAAGTGCGAAAGCGAAGCTGCAGGTCGTATCCGCGCGCGTGAACAGGCAGAACCCCGAACTGGTTCTGCATCTCAAGATTTGTGCCGAAAGCAGTTCGGTGAAGCAAAAGCGGTTGCCTAGTGATGCTACTCGTTCGAGGACTGCTCGCAAATCAGACCGATTTGAGGGTTCCCCAGGCGTTCACCTGAGCGTTTCGAGGCTGCTGAATCCACGGGTACCATCCGGAGCTCCGTAGCTGCTCGAAATCTCGAGATCAAATCTGCCAGCCGTACGCGCGCCATGTATAAGATCGAGGTCGGTTCGGGGAGGGTGCTCTCATGATGTTCTTCGTGTTTGTTGGATCTTTTTGTGCATCCTGGGAGGGGTACCCCTGGATGTTCTCTGTGTTTTGGCCGGCGGAGGGTCTCGTGTTCTTGGGGGATGTTTTTTCTGTCCCAGGTCCGAATTTACTTGCTGCCCAGATTTCTGTGGTCGGCGCCGGACCATGAAGGTGCTGTCAGGGGGGCCAGCGCCGATCCAAGAAGTCCGCGCGTACCTTGGAAATGTTGTGTCTATGGCGTTTTTACTTGCGTGGGGCAAGCCCGGGCACGCAGGCCGCTGCGGTCGCATCGGATGTGTCGACGTTGGGCCAGCCGTACGCCCGAGGTCCCTCTCGCCTAGGGCCTAGGGTCGTTCTTGCGTGCAGCCGAGGAGCGACATTGTTTAACATGCAGGGGAAGCCAACCATACTATGGTGTGTTGTCCTCGCTTTGAAGAGACTCCTCCCATCCCATCGCTGCCTTTACCGTCCGCGTGCCACTGTTTCAGCACATCCCTCACACGTTTCGTGACCCCATGGGGAGCTCCACCGAAGGCTCACACGCTTCGTGGCCCCACTGGGAGCTCCACCGAAGACGACTCTCGCAGCTGCGTGTCTCACGCTTCGCCGCGGCCGGGCCCTGCCTGAGGCGGGCCCGGCTTCCTCTCTTCCCGTCGCGCCGGGGTCTCCTCCCCTCTCGCAGGCCTAGAGATTGACACCAACACCAATATCGGCGGTGTGCATCCACCGAGGAAGGAAGATCCCGATCTCGGTGATGGTGGTAATGTTCTGGCTTCCAAGGTGGCCGAAATATTGCCACCAACACCGAAATCGAGGACCGTCTTCCCCCTGTGGAGGCAACCCCTTGTGTTGGTGTTGGTGCCCATTTCTAGGCCTCCAACCCTCCCCCCGTGCCTTGCGGCCCCACTTGCATCCAGCGCGCCCCACTGACGCCCGATCGCCGGAGCAGCAACCTCTGCCCAGCCGCCGACGCAACGATGGGATCAGGCTTTCGCCGGGGTGAGTTTCTGACCCGGACCCAGACATCCGACGTCTCGATTTTTTCGAGACGCGGGCCCCCGACCTCCCGACCACTTCCCCGGGACCGGTTTTTCGTCCCGAGCCGTTTTTTGACGCTCCCGAGGCCCAGCGAGGGCCCCGAGAGGCCAAAAACTACGAAAAACCTCTGCCTCGATTTTTTCGAGACGCCCGATGTCTGGGCAAAGCGCTCCTCCTCCTCCTCCTCCTCCTCCTCCTCCTCCTCCTGTTCCTCCAGTTCCTCCTCCTCCTCCTCCTCCTCCTCCTCCTCCTCCTCCTCCTGTTCCTCCTCCTCCTCCTGTTCCTCCTCCTGGGGAGCAGGCCAAGCAGGGGGCCGGCCGGTCGTCCCGCCCGGGGGGCTCCGCGCGCTGGCGTCGGCGGGGGCGCGGCCTCCACCCCGCGGAGCGCTGCTCCTGCCCGCCGGCGGCGGCGGCTGCCTCGGTGCCGGGTGTCCTCGGAGCCTCTCGGGTCGGTGCCCAGCTGAGGTGAGCTCTCCTTGTGGCAGTCGATTATCCCGGACCCCCTCGAGCAATGAACAAATCATGACGGGAGGTTTTTGCCATTTTCGGCCTCTGGGGGCCCTCGCCGGGCCTCGGGAGCGTCACGAAACGACTCAGGAGGACAAACCGGTCCTGGGGAAGGGGTCGAGAACTCTGGGGTCGACGTAATGAAAAATTCAGTACGTCGGGGGTCTGGGCTTGTGGAAGTCGATAATATGGGGAGGAAGCATGGTGCCAAATGATTTCCAGATGCCTAACGTGTTTCAAACATGTTTTGAATCTGTAATAAGCACGGTTGGAACATGTTTAGAACATGTTTTTAACACATGTCAAACACATCTTTAGTTCAACGATCGGACTGTTAGAGTGCCCACTGTCATGGCATCCACGACGCTCTTCGTGGAGCAGCTTGTCTGCAAGGGTTTCCCATGGTGCCTCGGGCGCGCAGTGGGGGAGCCCAGGCCGACGAAGTCGGTTGCCCGCCGTGGTCCCCACGCGCGGCCCCGGTCGCGCACAGCGTAGAGCGGTTCAGGGCCGTCTGCCACAAGGGTGCCATTTATCGATGGCCTTGCCCTGACTCCAGATCCGCCCTACTTTGGCTTTTTCCAACTTCAAATTGCGTCGGACATCCACCTATAAGAAGCCGAAAAAGTAGGGCGGAATTTTTTGCACCCAACATCAAATAGGGCGGAAATCCACAGAAGTTGGGCGGAAACAGCAGCAGAAAAGTAGGGCGGAAATTGGCATCAGCGGGGCTTGAAAAGTAAGGCGGAAATTCCAGGCCCTGCTTGCGAATTTCCCCAAAAAGTAGGGCGGATCCGGAGTCAGGGTGGTGACCCATTCGGGATCTTGGGGCGCCTCACAGTGTTCAAGGCCGGCGGGAGGTCAGCCCCTGGACTTCTCGTGGCAAGCCTGCTCTGCACATGGGAAAGAGCGTGTTCTACCTCTGCTGGCGGAAAACCGGGGGGGGTCACTACCGGTTCGAACCCCTCTCTGGAAAACCGGGGGGGGTCACTACCGGTTCGAACCCCCCGCCCCCCCCCCCGGTTCGAACCCCTCCCTCTGCACATGGGTATGCCGTGTTGCCCTTGTTCCCGAACTCTTTGGCGCGAGTGGGCTGGACCGCCGGTTGTGAAAGACAAATGTTGAGGCGCACGCGCACAGAAATGACAGAACACGCATTTGCGCGAATACGTTGAGAACTCGATGATATCCATTACCCTTTGGAACCTGAAAGCTGGTAAAGTCTGCATCGTTAGATCTGTTGTGGGCAGCACCCGTCTATCTCGATCCGAATTCCACGCGTAACGTTCACTACTCTCTTCCTCGAGTCGCCCTTCCTGATCAATGAGGCATATATGTATATGTATATATATATATGTCCCTGGCATTTGTGATGTTGGCTGCGAAGTTTTCCAAGAGCTGGTGAGGCATTCCACCAGCCGCAGCACAGTGTCTGTACTGCCTCTCTCACCGATCAAGTTTAAACCAGCATCATTTTCTCGCCTCCTATACCTGAGTATTTCAATCGGCCTGCTCCTGGTCCACTTGGACCAAGCGTCAGGCTTGGGCAGTCATCGAATCTGGCTATGCCGATCGTCTGCGGCAAGCGCTGCAGAAAGGTGGTGAGCACCCTCCATCGTTGTTATCTCCAGCATCGTCTGTCAAGCGTCATTGTCGTCGCCGCTCTGCGCTAACAAGCCCACATGCTTTCAGACCTCTTGCGTTCGTCGCGCCGGTGGCCAGGGCAATCCCTCACAGCAGAGGCACGGCGATGCTGGCACTGCTGTGCGAGCGCCGCATGTTGGAGTTGAGCGCGCTTCTTTTTGGTCCCTTCGCCCCGCACAAAACCACGCACACATCGCTGACCCGCTCGTGGCCGCACGCGGGCCCGTACGGCCCCCACTGCCGCTCGGTCGGCCACCGCCCCTGCGACATAGGCGGCGCGTTTCCCCCAGCCTCGTGTCCGAGTGCCCCGAGGGCGCACTCGGTCAGCACCTTTGGATCAGCGTACCGCGCCGCCAAGTCTGGGCTTTGTGGGCCACCACCCTTCGGCGCGACACGGTAACCGTGCCCCCAGACCCTCGAGGATGAGGATGAGGATGAGGATGAGGATGAGGATGATGAGGAGGATGAGGATGAGGATGAGGATGAGGATGAGGATGAGGATGAGGATGAGGATGAGGATGAGGATGAGGATGAGGATGATGATGATGATGATGATGATGATGATGATGATGATGATGATGATGATGATGATGATGATGATGATGATGATGGTGGTGGTGGTGGTGGTGGTGGTGAGGATGAGGATGCGGATGAGGATGAGGAGAAGGAGGATGAGGATGAGGATGGTGGTGGTCATAAGGATGAGGATGAGGATGAGGAAGAGGATGCGGATGAGGATGAGGATGAGTAACTACGAGGACGAGGATGAGGATGAGGACGAGGATGGTGGTGGTGGTGGTGAGGATGAGGATGAGGATGAGGATGAGGATGAGGATGAGGACCAGGATGACGATGAGGATGTATGAGGATGAGGATGATGATGGTGGTGGTGGTGAGGCTGAGGATGAGGATGATGATGAGGATGAGGATGAGGATGAGGATGAGGCTGGTGGTGGTGATGGTGGTGGCGAGGATGAGGATGAGGATGAGGATCATGATGATGAAGATGAGGATGATGATTATGATAATGTTGATGATAATGGTGATGGTGGTGATGAGGATGAGGATGATGATGGTGGTGGTGATGAGGAGGAGGCTGAGGATGAGGATGAGGATGAGGATGAGGATGAGGATGGTGGTGGTGGTAGTGATGAGGATGAGGATGAGGATGAGGATGCGGATCATGATGATTGTGGTGGTGGTGTGGATGAGGATGAGGATGAGGATGAGGATTAGGATGAGGATGGTGGTGATCATGAGGATGAGGATCAGGATCAGGATCAGGATGTGTATGAGGATGCGGATGGGAATGACGATGAGCATGGGGGTGCGTGCACGTGAAGGAGGGGGCTGGCCGCGGGCATTCTCTGTGCTGACCGCAACCACCGCGGTCCAAGCCTCTTCCGCCTCAGATAGGCGCTCATGCCCCGCCCCTGTGCCCTAGCCGTCCTCGCTACGCCATACGTGGCCGGCGTCTGGCGGCTGTTCCTGGAGCGGCCTGGGCTGGCGCTGGAGGGCTTCTCGTGGCTGGCGGAGTTCGCGCTGGGCTCGGCGAGGCGCCGCGGGGAGCGGACCACAGATCGGGAGACCGCCAGGGACGCGGAACCCGGAGGACTTCTTCCTGTAGTGCAGGTGTGTACCCCTTGTCCGGCACCTGAGAGGTGCGAGGAGTTGACCTTCGCGGCTGCTTGCGACTGCGGAAACGTGAGTTTCGAGGCCCGCGAGTGCAGCCCGTGCCCTGCTCCTGAGAGGTGCCCCGAGTTCGCGGGACCGCCCTGGGAGCTGGAGTGTCAGGAGGTGCCATTGCTCGTCTCTGAGGACGAGCCGGAGTCGACGCCAGTCGGTTGGTGGCAGCTGTGCTTCGGAGCGGCAACTACGTTTCTGAGTGGGGTGCTGGCTTCGTGTGGCTGCCACGAGAGGCCTTGGGAACATGCCGCTCGCCGACCGCACTACGCCATTGCCAGGGCACACGTTCGTGGTGTTCTTCGAGGGTGACGCCTGGGGGCATGAGCGAGTGCTTGTGTGGCCGCTCTCGGCCTCGTGCTGGTTGATCTACACAGCCAATGGAGATTTCTATGGGGAGGATACCGCGCTGTATGACAAGGTCGTGGCGCTCAAGTCCTTGGGGGAGCGACCCGCTGGGCTGGAGGCCGAGTCGATCGTGCAGTTCGACGGCCCCATCCAGCGGGGTGAGTTCCTGGACCTGATGGAGGCCGCTCAGAGGCACGTCGGCGCGCTGAGGGACCAGCGCGGACTGCCGGACTGGCCTGCACCCACGCGCTGGATCACGGCCGAGGGGATGCTGGAGGCAGTGCCGCGGCCTCGGCGGCTCGTCGGGCGGGGCCGCCTTCCCATGCCCGGCCCACCCCTGCCGTTGACGGCAGCCGCGCGTGCGCGGTCAGGGCCGGGTGGCGACCTTCGTGGCGACCTCTTGGGGGCCGCGCTCAGCAGGGCCGAAGCCGGGGGTGCCCCAGCCGTGGTCTGGCGAGTGGCCGAACCTGGACTGGAGATCGGCGACGTCGGCACGGAGGTTGCTCCGCGCTTGCTCGCGTTCGCAGGCCGTGTGCACGGAGTGGCGGTGACCGACGCCGGCATGGAGGCCCCAGTGATAGGCGTCGACCCCGGCATGAGCCTGGAGGACTTCAGGACCCAGAGGCTGGCGCTGTTCTCGCCACCGACGCCGCGTGGGGCGCCAACAGCCGCCGTCGAGCTGGACGCCGATCCAGTCGCAGCTTTCCGCCGAGAGGCGGGCGGGCGCGAGGCAGACGTCGCGGGCGTCGGCAGCCCGCTCGAGGAGCGGCAGGGGGCCGCTCCAGCCGCTAGCGCAGAGGGGCCCTCCGCGGACGTCCGAGTGCTCGCGGTCGACTGGGACTCGCAGGGAGAGAGGCACAAGGACTGGAAGATGGTGTGCGGTGAGTCAGTCTCGCACTCTTTCCGAGACTGGCCTCTCGACGGACCCTGTACGACACTCAGCGTGATGAAGCATATCGATCGCTTCGGCCCGATGCCCACCTCGTGGCTGGAGGCCTGGGCGAGACGGAAGCACATGTCGCCGTCGGACAGGGCCTTCCACGAGCTGCGGGTGCTCGCCGAGAGCTTCGAGATGTTCGGGTGCTACGACCAGGTCAACATGCCGTGCTTGGCGGGGATCGAGGTGCTGATGCGGAGGTTCCAGACCATCATCGAGGCTCACGCTGTGCCTGGCGCCAAGCCGAACTACTCCATGGCGGGAGTGTACTCGGGGGCGGCGATGCTGGAGGACGCAGTGGCACCAGACCTCCGCGTGCACGGCGCCAAGAGGCTCAAGGAGAAGGTGCTGGAGGGCAGCGTGCATCGTGGAGGTCTCGCACTCAAGCACGTGGAGGACGGCGAGGACGACGACACAGGTGCGGCCGGCTCGGCCGGGGCCCCAGCGGGTCCGAAGGGCGGCGGGGGACGCGGAACCGGGAAGCCGAAGATGAAGGCCAAGCCCGGGCTCGCCGCGCCCCCGCCTTCGACATGAGCGAGGCGCGCGGCGGGGGGACTGGGCCACCCCCCGCTGCCTATTTTGGGCCCTGCCTGGGAGTGCATCGGCGTCTGCCCGCCTTCGAGGTCCCAGCCAGGCTGGGCGGCTCCTCCCGTCGGTCCAGACACCGACACGGGCTGCGCGTGGAGGAGCTCAGGCGCAAGAACGAGACCTTGGATGCACTCCATTGGTGTCTGGGCAGCCGCTCCTCAGCGCGCTCAGAGCCATCTGAATTCGATGAGAAGGCCGTGGCGACCCTCGTCGCCCCTGTCGTCGCGAAGCCGGTGACAGCGCCCTCTCAGGAAGAAGCCGCCAGAGTGCTTCTCCGTGGTCATCTCAGCTACGACGCCGAGGAGACCCACACCACCGTCGTGCCCTACGAGTTTGGTTCCGTCTCGCTCCCTGACCATGTCCATGACGCTGCAGATGTGGCAGAGGTGCTTGGCGCTGAGGACCGCCTGATTATCGAGGGTTGGCAAAAGAGTATGATGCGGTCTACCGATGAGTTTACACAGCTCAACGAGTGGCTGGGTGACATCAAACCGTTCTGGGACAAGAGGCTGTCGCGGAACCAGAAGGCCTATCGGCAGTTCATCCTGGACCTTGACCGACGAGGCCTGATCAAGTGGACCACTGACCCCATCGAGCACGCGGGCCTTTTCTTTGTTGGCAAGAAGGACAAGTCCCTGAGGCTCATCATCGACGCAAGGCGAGGGAATCGCCGATTCAGGGCCCCCCCTCACACGGACTTGATCACGAGCGACGGGCTGTCCAGGATAGGGTGCGAGCCAGGCTTCAGCGTCGACCCCAGTTGCTGTTTCACGCTGGGTGTGGGAGACGTGGAGAACTGCTTCCACCGGCTGCGGCTGCCCGACGGGATGCACCGCTGTTTCGCGCTGCGGCCGATCGCCGCAAAGTACACCCCACTGCGTGATGACATGGCGCTCAACGACGCGGTCTATCCCTGCCTGGCCTCCTTCCCCATGGGGTTCACCTGGTCCCTGTGGGTGGCTCAGAAGTGCAGTGAGACGGTCCTCAACCAGGTGCACCAGCTGGGACCTGGCAGGAGGATCACGGACCACACGGAGCCGGTCGTGCTGCGGAAGGGCGCCGAGACCCAGTACACCCTGTACGTGGACAACCTGGACGTGTTCGGGAGTTCGGAGGCGCCCGTGCAGCTTGCGCTCGGGGCCGGCTGCGAGGCGCTGGGAGCGGTGGGGCTCAAGACACACGAGCACGAGCTGATGGCGGGAGGAGGCGAGACGTTGGGCTGCGTGCTGGACGGACACCTGCTTGAGACGCGGGTGACCGAGAAGCGGAGGTGGCGTATTGACGGCGCCTTTCGCTGGGCCCTGCGCCGCCGGCGCCTGAGCGGCAAGCAGCTCGAGAGGCTCGTCGGTCACGCCACCTTTGTCAGCCTGCTCGATCGCACTGCCTTGAGCGTGTTCCACGCCTGCTACGCCTTCATGCACCGGC